CCAGACAGACAGAGAGAGACATAGAGACAGAAAGCGAGAAATCACCCCCCAGTGGGGATGGTCACGCCGCAATCCCTTCTCCTCCATTCTCCTCTCGGGATCTTGGGCACGCACGCACACGTGCCCGACGTGAGTTTTAAGCCACCGGGTCCGGGACACGAACCGCGGTCGACTATGTGGGAGTCCAGCGACATAGCCATTACGCTAACTGCTGGTTCCCTCCAGACCCATTTTTGATGGGGAAAAGGAAACGCCAGTTTATAAGGAGTTAGAAGGCTAGGCCTGTAAAGCATGTTCATTTAATCCTAGAATAAAGTTTTCATTCATCTCTCACTATATTTTGAAAGCAGGTTATATGTCAGGAGTAGGACTAGGCTCTGTGGATTTAGAAAACTAGTTCTTATGGTACATACATAAATTAATAGTAGAAAGTGTATGAAATACCAAAACATATATAGGTTCATAATACTTTAACCAACCCGATAGCTGCTACTACTCCTTCATACACTTAAATATGCTTACTGAAGGGTTACATGAAGAAATCCTTTCTTTCCCCACTCCAGTTTTCTTCTCCCACGAACAATGGTTGGTAATCACGAGAATCCTCAATCTACAAAGGGTTACCATTGTACAGAATATACTTTAATTTTAAGATGGTAACGCACATACACTTGCCTTCCTCCTCCCCGAAGGAAGGAGGAGAACCTGGGGGGAAACAGTAGGAGTGAAGTGAGCGTCTCAGGGCGTTGCAGTTACTATAGACGGCCATCTGTATCCTTCCTGAAACTTCTCTAATGTGCTTTCATCACCGAATTCTGGTCTACCTTAAGTGAGTTATTAAAAACTGTATTGGGGGAAGATAAAAGGTTGTGTTTGTCTTCTTGCTAGCAAAGTAGCAGTATAAGGCTAAAAAGGAGCGGTTTCTTAGAGGCACACAGCAAAACTACCCTTCTCTGCATTGGTACAGACAGTGCATTGCTGTTTGTCTTGAACGATGAGGAGCTATAAGCTGATGACCATTTAAGAACCCATCTGAAGCGTATATTAGCCAGGAGACAGCCTGCTGATGGGTGCAGCACCCAGCCTGGGCGGACTGTTAGGCAGGCGTGGGCACCAGACTCCCTGCTGAGTTCGCTGTCCTTCTGTGCACACGCAGCAGTATTCATGACCACACGGACTCCCACTGCTTCCTGAAGATGCTGCAGGGAAACCTGAAGGAGACGTTGTTTGCCTGGCCTGACAAAAAAGCCAATGAGATGACCAAGAAGTCCGAAAGAATCTTGAGGGAAAACCAGTGTGCCTACATCAACGGTAACACCAGCTCCTCTTTCTAAGGGCAAGTGGGAAAAACCGTGAACACCTGTCTGACATGGGGGTTACTGACATGGATCATGAAGGCAGGGCTAACTGCTTGGGAAATAACCGCAGCAGGTTTTGTTTAAGCCTTTGCACCTGGGTTGGAACCACTTATCCAAAACACGTAAACAGATTAGCATCCACCAAAAAGTCATTCACCTGCCAAGACTTGGCGCTATTAGAATTGAAGATGAATTTGCATGACTACAAGAGTTAGGTCTGGAAGTGATTAAGAATGTTAGCTAGACTGTTTTTCCAAAATGCATATAGCATCCCTAAGAGAGTATCCTTGAGGGAAATCTACAAAACACATTACTCTGCAGTAATTTATAGGTATCTTACGAAGAATTCATTCTTTCCCCTACATGTGGCTTGGGATAGCAAAATGCTTTTCAGGAGAGGCAGTGATTAATGTCTGTATTCCAAAAGGATATAGTAATGTCCCGAAAAGCTCATTAAAACTTAAAGTTCAGTATTGGCCTTGATACTCAGTGCAGAGCGTCAGTTTAGGTATGCAAGTCACTTACAAAGGTCGGATTGTACGGAAAGTTCATTCTCCTCTACATTAAACATAAGGGTGTTCTCTAGCAGGAAACTCCTTCATTTGCTCAGGAATTTGAGGGTTGCTCTGTAAGGCACACCAGGTTTCTAGAACAAGTTTGCTGCCTGTACCATTCATGACAGAGCCAGAAGGCTGTCAGAATAACTTCTTTCAGCTGGAGTCAGGGTCTATGTGACAGCAGATGAGATCTTAAAGAATGTGCAAGTCCCCCCCCCTTTTTTTTAAAGAGATTTTTCCTATAGAGCACATGTGCTCACCAGAGAGGAGAGAGAGAGAAAGCAAGAAATCACTCCCTAGGGGGATGGCCACATGCCATCTATTCTCCATTCTCCCCTTGAGATTTTGAGCACACATGCATATGCGCCTGGCATGAGTTCAAAGCCACCGGATTCAGGACCCAAAATGCGGCTGATACATGGGAGTCTGGCGACGTAACCGTGACGCCGTCTGCTGATCCCAGTATGTGAGCTTTTTCAAGGATCGCCAAGATGCAAGCCTGTGGAAGCCACCGTGGGGAGATGGGGAGATGCAGGCTGGGCTTCTGCCATCGTGTGAGCATGACGAACCCATGTTAGCGCTGCAGCAGCTGCCTGCTCCGCTGAGCTGTTCTGATTTTTTTCCCCATAGATGTTTCAAATTCTGGTTTTTATGTGAAATTTCGCCAGTCAGTACAATAGTGGATGGAATCTGCTAAATATTTCTGTAGACTAATTACTCAAGATAAAAGTCACAAATTTTCTACCTCTGATTTTTATAGATACAGGAATAAGGATAGAGGTGAATAGTGATGACAGGGAAGGATGTTTCAAGTCCAGGGGCAAGCAAAAATGAAGGCACAGTTGTTGTAACAAAACAAAGGAAACTTTTGAGGAACTGGGGGGCGGGAAGAAGAAGGGGCATGAACAGGGAGTGGCAGTCAGGTTGAATGAGATCAGGACACCTGGACCTTCAAGACCAGCTTATAGTGAGAGCTTTCTTGGTCAGCAGGTCATAACTGATTTGTTAGCAGCATGGACCCTCGGGTGGAGGGAAGAGTTGGGGCAAGGGTACCAAGCTGCCTCTTTTTTTTTTTTTTTTTTGGTAATTTTCTCAGTCTTCATGGTGAATTTTTCTAGGCCAGCCATTTTCTCTTCTATGTCTGAGATTCTATTTTTCGTATGATCTAATCTGCTTTTAATACTTTCAAGGGAGATTTTGACTTCTTGTTTTATAGCCGTCATCTCTAACAGGTCCCTATGATTCTTTGGGTCCGGGACACGAACCGCGGTCGACTACGTGGGAGTCCAGCGACATAGCCATTATGCTAACTGCTGGTTCCCCCAAGCTGCCTCTTAAAGGACAAAAGAACAGGCCTGCACCTAATTGGCCTAAACATACCAGGAAACGTTCAGTACTACTGGGACAGATACTCCATGCACATAAAAGGAAAGGAGGCAAAGATCAAAATATAATCACGATACTGTGGTTACTTATTTATTTTTTTGGTGAGGTTTTTGCTACAGGGTGCATGCTATCACCAGAAAGAGAGAGAGAGAGAAAGCAAGAATTCACCTCCCAGGGGGGATGGCCACGCCAAATCCCTTCTCCTCCATGCTCTTCTCGGGATCTTGGGCACGCATGCACACGTGCCTGGTGTGCGTTTAAGCCACCAGGTCTGGGACTCGAACCAGGTCGACTAAATGGGAGTCCAACAACATAGCCATTATGCCAACTGCTGGTCCCAATCCTGTGGTCATTAATAATAAAGATCATATATGAGCCCAGGGGCTTCTCTAAGGGATGGGTGATCTGTGCTTTGCAGGGTCCTTACAGGATCATCTAGTTCACATCGGATGGCATGTGCACCTGCAGTTGGAGAAACATAATTGTTTGTATAAAGGGCAGCCAGTTCTTAGAATGTCGAACATTTGTTCAAAATTGTGCTTAAGCCGGTGTCTTGTGAAAGTAATAAGCCATAGGATCACAGAGTTTACAGATCTGAGAATTGGGCCCCATGTTTAGCAATGAGGAACACTGAAGATTATAAAGTTGTGACTTGTTCAACGATAACCTCATGAGGCACTGGGACTAGAATGTATGCCTTCTGCTTCTAGGCTTTAGTTTTTTTTTTTTTTTTTCTTCTTCTTCTTTTTTTGGAAAAGTTTTTGCTATAGAGCACGTGTGTGCACCAGAAAGAGAGAGACGGAGACAGAAAGTGAGAAATCACTGCCCCTGGAGGGGATGACCACACCGCAGTCACTTCTCTTCCATTCTCCTCTTGGGATCTTGGGCATGCACGCACATGTGCCCGGCGTGAGTTTAAGCTGCCGGGTCCAGGACTCGAACCGTGGTCCACTATGTGGGAGTCCAGTGACATAGCTATTACACTAACTGCTGGTCTCTAGGCTTTAGTTTTTATTATATTCACTTGTGGAGCTAGATCATTAAGCATTAGGTAAACCAGCCACACTGTCTAGAGGTTAAGGGAGATTGGCAACTTGAAAAACACACTGGGCGTATGTGTGTTCATGCCCTAAACCCTAACAGGGTAGAGAAACGAAGAAGGGACTCTGGTGTGACCATACTTCACTAGAGTCTTTTGTCTTCCTTCCATCTCTGTGGCAAGAACAAACTCCCTATGGCAATTAAAAAGCATAGGGGCAGGATCATCAGATGGCGTAATGGTCATGTCACTGGATTCTCACGTAGTCGACCATGGTTCAAGTCCTGGATCCAGTGGCTTAAAATTCATGCTAGGTGCATGTGCATGCATGCCCAAAATACCAAGAAAAGAATGGAGGAGAAGGGATTGTGGCATGGCCATCCCTCCTGGAAGGGTGATTTCTTGCTTTCTGTCTGTCTCTCTGGTGAGTGCATGTGCCCTGTAGTAAAACTCTTTAAAGGGGGTGGGGGGGTGGAGGCAAAAGGCCACATTGGGTACCTGCATTAATTACCCTGATTTCCTGCCTTGATTAATCCCTCAAACTCTTCCCTGATTGAATAAATTTCTTCTCACTGCATTAAAAAAACAAAACAAAAACTTAAAATGAATCTTTTTTTTTTAAACCCTCTTGAAGCCATCTCTCCCAGGGCCTTTGAGAGCTTCAGCAAAGATGAGTGTATGCAGAGGCCAGGGCTCAGCTGTCATCTGAGGATCGCTCTTACGTCATCCTGACCCTTCCCCTCATTCTCTCCTGCGGTTGGATCCCGTGTCTGCTGACCTTGTGTTTTCTCTCTTGGCTTGTGTCCTGGTTCTGCTTGAGCACGTTCTCCATTGGCTCTATGGATTCATGGAAGGTACATTTTTGAGACCTCATGTATCTAAAAACCTTCGTGTTCCACGGTTGCAACTTGATTGATAGTTTAACTGGCTATGGGTTATGACCTGGCCAACACCTCCCCTCAAACATCATCTTTGCCTTTTGTTCTTTGGATGCCTGGTGCCATTCTGGGTCCTGAATCTGTGGAAACTACTTTATTTCTGGACACTTTGGAGATCATCTCTTGTTTTCTGCTGTCTGTCTCCAGTATCAAGATTTCTTAGCGCTGTATCTTGTTTGATGACTTATTCATTATGTTAGAAACTCAGCATTCTTTTTCTCTGGAAATTTGTGTCCTTCAATTGGTCTAGAGGTTAAGGGAGATTGGCAACTTGAAAAACACACTGGGCGTATGTGTGTTCATGCCCTAAACCCTAACAGGGTAGAGAAACGAAGAAGGGACTCTGGTGTGACCATACTTCACTAGAGTCTTTTGTCTTCCTTCCATCTCTGTGGCAAGAACAAACTCCCTATGGCAATTAAAAAGCATAGGGGCAGGATCATCAGATGGCGTAATGGTCATGTCACTGGATTCTCACGTAGTCGACCATGGTTCAAGTCCTGGATCCAGTGGCTTAAAATTCATGCTAGGTGCATGTGCATGCATGCCCAAAATACCAAGAAAAGAATGGAGGAGAAGGGATTGTGGCATGGCCATCCCTCCTGGAAGGGTGATTTCTTGCTTTCTGTCTGTCTCTCTGGTGAGTGCATGTGCCCTGTAGTAAAACTCTTTAAAGGGGGTGGGGGGGTGGAGGCAAAAGGCCACATTGGGTACCTGCATTAATTACCCTGATTTCCTGCCTTGATTAATCCCTCAAACTCTTCCCTGATTGAATAAATTTCTTCTCACTGCATTAAAAAAACAAAACAAAAACTTAAAATGAATCTTTTTTTTTTAAACCCTCTTGAAGCCATCTCTCCCAGGGCCTTTGAGAGCTTCAGCAAAGATGAGTGTATGCAGAGGCCAGGGCTCAGCTGTCATCTGAGGATCGCTCTTACGTCATCCTGACCCTTCCCCTCATTCTCTCCTGCGGTTGGATCCCGTGTCTGCTGACCTTGTGTTTTCTCTCTTGGCTTGTGTCCTGGTTCTGCTTGAGCACGTTCTCCATTGGCTCTATGGATTCATGGAAGGTACATTTTTGAGACCTCATGTATCTAAAAACCTTCGTGTTCCACGGTTGCAACTTGATTGATAGTTTAACTGGCTATGGGTTATGACCTGGCCAACACCTCCCCTCAAACATCATCTTTGCCTTTTGTTCTTTGGATGCCTGGTGCCATTCTGGGTCCTGAATCTGTGGAAACTACTTTATTTCTGGACACTTTGGAGATCATCTCTTGTTTTCTGCTGTCTGTCTCCAGTATCAAGATTTCTTAGCGCTGTATCTTGTTTGATGACTTATTCATTATGTTAGAAACTCAGCATTCTTTTTCTCTGGAAATTTGTGTCCTTCAATTGAAGAAAATATTCTCAGGTTATTTCTTTGACTTTTGTGTTGTCGTCATTGTTCTGTTTCTGAACCTCCTGCTGAGATACCAAGCTTCCTGAACTATTCTTCCGACTTTCTCCTCTTTCTCTTTCTATTGCTGTCCTTTTGTTCTTTGAGTCTTCCTACCTATTCTGTTAGCTTTTAAAGGTACCCATCCAAGATCTTATTTCTAGAAGGTCTCAGTTTCATGATCTTCTCTGTGGTGTTTTCTCCTATTCTTCTGAGGGCATCAGTACTTGGCCTCTTAGAAGTTTGTTCCAGGTTGCCTTTTTCAGACTGGTCCACCCCTGTCCTTCCTTGCTCAACTGTCTGGCGGCTGTGGCTGGGTACTCGTATCTAAAAACCAGGGTAGTTTTGAACCTGAGTCGGGCTTGTCAACTGGATTTTATTCTAAAATAATCTGGCAGGGCCTTTTCCCGAAACTCCAAATGACAACATTTTTAGCCTTGAGTCAATTGGACTCCATGAGAAGTGGCTTTCCATCTTCTGGAAGAGCAAAAATTCTGTCCAGCAGTGTTCTGGCAGCGAGGTGGTGACTCAGCATGGACCATGCAAATTTTTGCTTAATTCACCTGGGTTTCATCTTCTGCCTACCTCAAAGTTCATCTTTTATACTCTTTATCTGGAAACTAGATCTCAGTCTTCTCTTGTAGAAAAAGAGAATTGTAGAAAGTAGTTTAGGACTCTAGTTTCTAAATTGGCTTTCAGCCAGTTCTTGTATTTTTATCCCCATGTTCACCCTCTTTTCAGAAGTATCTGGGCTGCCAATTCCTGAGCTGTTTGGGAATTTCAAGATATAAATCAGGTTGTTTCTTGGCCTTCCTCACAAATGGCTCAGGATCTAGCATTCTTTGCTCCCTAAAACCATCCATCTACTTCCCAGTTTTCAAATTTTTATTCTCTTTTTATGTTTTTGTGTGTGTGTGCGTGTGTGCTTGCAGGCAGGCAGGTGCGTGCGTGTGTGTGTGTTGACATCCTTTTTATTTTACTACAGCTGAAGGGAGTCTTCAGTAAGGAGCAGAGGCTGATGCATGTGTGTGGCTTACTATCTTTAGTTAATAGTTCAATTCTAACTAATTTTTATTAATTCCACTTGCATCAAAATTGACTTGTGGGCTAACTGTGGCTCAAGTCCTAGACTTAGTGGCGTGAAATTCATGCTAGTTGCATGTGCCTATGTGCCCAAGATCCCAGGAGGAGAGTGGAGAAGGAATTACAGCATGGGCATCCCTTCCGAGGGATGATCTCTCACTTTGCCTCTCACTATCTCTGTCTCTCTCAGGCTAGCATACGTGCCCTAAGACGAAAATCTCTTTAAAAAATTTTTTTTTCTTATTCGTGATCTTCTGCGGTTAGCAGAATTTCTATTGAAAGTGGTCTCCTAAGCTCCAGCATGTATTCCCTGTCAAACATTGTTCAGATTCTATCGGCTTGCATCGAGTGGAGAACATCAGCCACACGGAGCCCGCTGTGAGCCTTCACCTGTACAGTCCGCCCTTTGACTCCTGCCATACTTTTGATCAAAGGACGGGACATAAAAACAAAGTCACCATGACATTCCACAGCAAATTTGGAACCAGGACTCCACTAGTAAGTATAATTTCTTTCTCCTTTGGCTTTAATACTTTGTAGATTGGCAACATACATTGTTTTGTTGTTGCTCTAAATATTACTTGACTATCTTAATTTTTCAGTATTCCTAAACTGAAGAAAGAGATGAACTGTAATTCAAGGGGAAGGCCCCATATACTTAATTGTTTTCTTTTAAGTTTGCAGACTATATTTTGAGTTTACTTAAAAAATCCATTAAATTAGTTTCAAAGAATTGTTAATTGAGAAATTTCCAAATGAATACTTATTCCTTAAAATGTTTTATCTTCACTTATTTGGGAAGTAAAAAGTGAAGACTATATATAATACTACTGCTTTGACTTACTGTTCGTATGTCTGATTTGCTGGGACAACTCAAATCAGCTGCATAGTTAACCTTTCTAAAGCTGAGACCCCATTCTGATGATATATAACTAATGAAAATTGTCTGGTTTGGTGCCTGTGTTCTTATTTGAGTTGTGATATTTAGACAACAAATAATTGGGAGTAGACTACACTCAGTATATGTTCCTACCTGAGAGATAGCCATTTCCACCTCAAAGTCAACCCACATGAACATGGTGTGTGTCTTCTACCTCTGGTGAAGTCAACTAGCCATTTAGAAGGCTGGTTTTTATTTATTGACAGTAATTGGAATGTCCAGAAATAGGCAATGCATGAAAAGAGACCTAAAATAATCCCCATGAATCTTAGGAAAGCACAGGCTTTGAGAAGCTGGGGAAGAATCTTCTCAAGTTATTGCTTCATCTTTGTCTTACACATTTCAACCTAAAATATTATCACAGGAACAAAAGGAAAGGAGTCCGTTGCCAAAGCTGACTGTTCAGACACTGCTGGAAAAGCAGCGCAGAACAAGCTCAGATGTCCTGTGTAAAGATTCTTACGGAGCTTTCCCCCCTTTCTTACAGACCACTTCAGGTTCACTGGAGAACAACTAAGGAGCAACAGACCCGCAGAGGTTTTCCGTTCAGGTGTGCTGCACGTCTGTCTTGGACAGGGAGGCCTTCCATCGTGTGCTCTTCCGTAACTAGATAGGCCCATACCTAGAGCTACAGTAAAGCAGATGCCGGTTGTCAGGCGTTAAGTAAGCACATTCTGCTCTGAGCTGCTGCAAAAGAAAAGCCCACGCACTCACTCTTTTTCAAGGCCAAATCAGCTGCTCGCCGGATTCTGTCCTCTTAATTCCTCTGAAAGTGTTCTGGGAGTATCAGGGGTTTTTTTATAGCTTTTGAAAACACTTTGGTCTCTGAACTGTAATTGTCAGTAGTAAAAACAAGAAACCATAGACATTAAATGCTACCCGGAGAAATAAGTGTAGATCTCTTTAAAATACTTTGTTCTTAATATTTGAAGAAAATTTTTTGAATCAGTGGATTTATTTTTTTTCAATCTTATTTTACAAATTTCTTCTCAATGAGTAATAGAAAAACTTAAGGCATTTTGCCATTTAGTAATGATATGAAGAGCAAAGGATTTAGAAAAGTACGACGTACCCAAACTCACAACAAACCCAAACATTAACTCATGTCTCTGTCCTATGGTTATAGTCAAAGACTTTGTACTGATACCAAAATTGCCAAATAATTTTAATAAAACTGGATTTGAACACAATTTGATGTTGTCTCTCTGAGTAACATGATTAAAAACTATAAAGAGCCAGCCCATAGCACAGGGTTAAGCACTGTCCTTAGGGAACAGCATCTCACATGGCTGACTGCAGCTTGAATCCCAGCCCTGACGACCTGAAAAACATGACCAGCCAGACACGTGTGTTCATAGGCCCAGAGACTGACAGGCTGGAGAAAGGGAGGAAAGGAACTGCAGTGTGACCACGCCCTGCTGGGGATGTTTTCTCTCTGTCCTCCCAGAACTTCCTCTTCCACCCTCCCACTCTTTGGTGAGCTCACCCTCTAGCAATTAAAAAAATTATGTAAATCCTAGTTTTTCAGCTTTAGATGGAGTAACAAAAGTTCTGAAGAAAACTGCCTTTACGATATAAATATGAGAGGCACCAAAAAATGCACTCTGCAGCAACCTGCCTTCCCGTGTTTCACTCGGCCAGAGATGCCAACCTGAGGGCCCCTGGCCCTGGTGTGGCTCTTGGACAGGCTCAGTTTTGCCTGAAAATGTGTATGTGTGTAAATATGAATTGGCTTCCAGCATTTAGAAACGAGATTTTGCAGACAGTGGTGAGGGATTCTAGCTTCTTGAAAACTGGGTGTCTGGAACAAAACTCCGCACTGCATTCTCACTGGTTTCAGCGAGCGAGGCTGCCCCCTCCCCCACACACAGGGCTGGGCCTCCACTCTGCTGCAGCTCCTAGCTCACCTGTGTGCCTTGAGTTACCTACAAAGCTCACCTATGCATTTGAGTTTGCTGCCCTGCTGCAGGCAGTTTTTAGTGGTTCGCTGGAACAATGCCTCCCTTTAATTTCCCAAGGGGATGGGGACAGGATTGGGAGACAAGCAGCATCAGTGGGGTCTTCATGCCGTCATCCTACCAGCCCTGCAGCCAGCCAAGACCAGGGCATGCCCCTGCTCACCCTGTTGAGGTAGACATGGAACACGGACCTGGGTCTTCCCATACAGCCTCCAGCATCACGCAGGACCACCCCTGCTACCCACACCGCCGGGGCTAGGCCCATGTGTGCCCTGATTTGAGCATTACACCACATCTGCATGTATTGAAAAGTCACACTGTACCCCATAAATGTGTACAACTATTACATGTTAATCAAAAACCAGAATTTATCATCTCTAAAAACTTAATTTAAAAACAAAGTCACCTAAAAATTCTATATAGGTTATTGTTTATAGAATTGTGTGCATAGAATTTATATATTTACATGTTGGCTTTCATATTTGAGAAGGAGTTAACATTCAGTGTTTACTATATATTCAACATTAAGTTTTTTTAATGTACTGACAAGATTCTGAAAAACTATCTCAGTGAGTTAGGTTTTGCATTGGTTTGCTGCTGCTGTAACACATTACCTAGTGGCCTAAGTGGGTCAGAAGCCTGACAGTTTGATCATACTCAAATCAAGACATTCTCAGGGCTGCCCTTTTTAGCTTCTGTTAGGTGTTGTGTTCCTGCTTTTTGTTTTTTTCTGCTTCAAGTGACTGCCAGCATCCGTGGCTCCTGCCTATTCCTCCATTTTCTTTCTTTTTTTCTTTTTGGAGAGATTTTTTGCTATAGGGTGTGGGTGTTTGCTGGACAGACAGAGACAGAAAGCAAGAAATCAACTGCCGCCCCCCCTGCCCACCCCAAGCAGGGACAGCCACACCTGCAATCCCTTCTCCTCCACTCTCCTCTTGGGACCTTAGGCATGCATGCACACACATGCACCTGGGCATGAGTTTCAAGCTGCCGGGTCCAGAATTCAAACCATTGTTGGCCACATGGAGTCCATTGTCTTAACCACTATACCGTCTCCTGGCTCGCCTTCCTCCTTTTTCAAAGCCAGCAGTGACAGGTCGGTCCCACATCCCATCTCTCCCACGTACTGTTCATGTGGTTAGATGATATCTCCATTTCAAGGTTGTTCCCCTCCTCGCATTTGTAAAGTCTCTTTGCCACACAAGGTAATGTGTTCATAGGCTCTGGGGGTTGGGAGGTGAGTGCCTTTGACAGGGCATTCTGTCTGTCACGGTCTACTCTCCTGCCCTAATGAGCCATCTCCATCCCGCGTTCAACGTAGATTCTCCCACCCCCAAATTCCCAAAGTGTCTCATCACGTTGTCAACTCAGCATCCAAACATCTTGTCTAAATTGTATACTTTAGGTTTGGGGGAAACTCTTGTTATAATCCATCTAGGACACAATTTCTATGTCTATGTAGACTATTGAGATGATAAGGCAACTTGCCAAAAGTTATCCAGCCAAGATACAGAGCAAGCACTTAGAGCCCGGATTTCATCTCAAGCAACCTTCTTCTAGAATTCATTATGGTTAATGTTAGGCCTTTCAAGTTAAGAGAACCCATTTTCTCGTATCCCATTATATCAAAGTAAGTATAGGATAGTAGTACATTTCATACACATTGTATACTTTAGTGTTGACTGAATAGCACTTTAAACACAAGTCACACCCTAGGTATGACAGTAATGACAAAATGTAAATTTCAGGATCCTTGGGAATGTGAGGCTTAGCCCAAGTGGCCACGCTGCCTGCCTGCCGGCCCTGCCTCTCCCCCCATTCTCCATGACTGCCCTGCTCTGTACTGCCTGTGACAGCATTCACACAAGAGCAGACCTGTCCCTTCTCCGGAGCTCGGCCTTTGCCTGGGTCACAGGGGTGTCTGCACGCAGCAGGTGGCAATGGCAGCAAGCTGAGAAAGAGCTTTGAGAGCTGGAGTCACTCGGTGCTAGAGCATGCACGATGTGAAGGTTAGACCTGAGGCCAGAAGAGGAAGAGGAGCAGACCCTGTAGGGAGACAGGGAGAGGTGGGTGGGCTGCAGACCCCTCAGCACTCAGTCGTGCTCCCTGCCCGCCCTCATCCCACCCTTGTCAGCGAGGGCCTGAGCGTGTGCACTTACTGTCCCCTCTGCCTGTAGTGCCTGTCCCCCACTGCTCACAGGCGGGCTTGTTCTTGCCCTTCAGATTGCAGCTCAGATGCCATCTCCCTAGAGAGGATCTCTCCATCTGTCCTACCTGAAACTGAAATCTCCAACTGAAGCACTGGAGATTGGAGAGGCCAGTTCGAAGCATTTATCTGGAATGTGTCAGTTCTTTTTTCTCTCCTATATTATCTGGACCTTCCTGCTACGATGCAAGCTCCATAAGGATAAAGACGTGTTTCTTTCACTGCTGTATCCTAAGCACTGAGACTATACCTGACACAGAGTAGGTACTCAAGATTCATGAAGTGATGGAAAAACCTCCACCTCCTTACAAGATAATTTTATGTTAATATATGGTCTTTTTTTTTTGGAGAGGTTTTTGCTATAGGGCGCGTGCGCTCACCAGAGAGACAGAGAGACAGAAAGAGAGAAATCACCCACCAGCGGGATGGCCACACAACAATCCTTTCTCCTCCATTCTCCTCTCGGGATCTTGGGCACACACACACTTGCGCCCAGCATGAGTATAAGCCACCAGGTCTGGGACTTGAACCACGGTCAATTACATGGGAGTTCAGCAACATAGCCATTACGCTAACTGCTGGTCCCAATATATGGTCTTTTCTGTGTGCCACCAAATTGAACATGCCAGGTCGCTGTTAAGTGTCAGAACCCCAAGGATCATATCCTAGCCCACTGACTTCTTCCCTGAACCCCACATCAGACACTTGCCTTTTGGTGTGGGCCGTTAACCATGTACTGCGGCGAACTTGGTGATGAATGAAAAGGCTTTGTGTATCCCGTGGGAGAGCACAGCATGGATTATTCTATTTAGCAATGGTGCTTAGCTTTTTTTTGAATCAGGACCTCTTTGAAAATCTCTGAATGCTAAAGAACTTCTCTCCAGAAAGGCTGCATACAATAGAGGAGCATAGGATTTCAGAAAAGATTCACAGACCTGCAGAAGGCCTCTCGGGACCTCGGTTAAAGAGCCCTACCCTAATGAGCCAAGGCTTGTGGGAAACGGTGGCTGTTTGGTGTTGCTTTCTGAGAGTAAGAGGGCATTAGCATGCTGGTCAACGAGTTGACCTTTTAGAGAGTGTAGTGGGATTTCCAGGAAACCCCAGAACATGAGCTACCTGGTCCCAGGCACGTCCGCATGTTTCACAAGACCGTCCCTCTGTTTCTAAAGACATGAAAGACGTTTTACACATTCACAGCTTTAGCCAGTTGGCAGAAACTGCCTTTAGAAAAACGTGTGTGAGAGTGTGAAAAAGCCAGACGGACACACAAGGGCAGACGTGTGAGTCCGCCAAATGAGGTACCAAGAACAGCTCTTTCACAGAAACAGAAGGATCGCGGTTACCAGGAGTGGGGGAGGGAGCTACTGACTATGGGATGGAGTTTGGGTGAGGACGATGGTAAGGTTTGGGGGATGGGTGGTGGAGATGGGTAACAACACTGTGAATGCACTTAATGCCACTGAATTGCTCATTTACAAATGGCTAAAATAAACCTCTTTTCTCACAATAAAAAAAAATCTAAAAATGTGTACATGGGAAAAGGGAGAAAGAGGAGGAATAGATGAGACATACTGATCACAGAAAATGCAAAAGCCGTGAAAGGCAGAGGGTCAAAGTCTTTCCTATTCCCAGACACTCAGTTTCGCTCTCTAGTTTCCTCATGTTTTTCTCTCAATTTTTATGCACAGGGCAGCTTCTGCAATGCATGCTGTGCCCCCACACGGACATCTTTCCGTGTCAGAACACAGGCAGCTCCCTCGCTCTGTGGCAATGACACTTGTGCGGCGTCCCATCGTGTGAAGGTGACGTCGTCCTCTGCTACGCTTTCACTGTATTTCCTCCCTCGACCATCACAGACAACTCTGCAGCAGGTGACCACCTCTGCCGTTTCACAGATACTGGTTGGCATTTTCTTCATTGCAAAACAAACCAGATAACAGGCCCCAGGGAATGGGTAACAGCAAAGGCCACAGCAGCACCGCCGCCCAAGGGCTTCCCTTCAGGGCAGAGCCTGCCGCGGGATGTC